TATTTGTGTGGCAAACGGAATATTTCTGATATGAAGTTTTCGTGCCAAGTCTACTAAAGAGGATAAGAGTCAATTGCTTGAACATGAGCATATAGTATCATTTTGATGCCCTGAGGTACCTCAGATGGCCGGGTGAGACTGGCAGGTGTGACATAGAAAACCCCAGAGACCTGCATCCTTCCAGGGCTGCAGCAGGAGGCGAGGCAAGATGCTTCAGGGCATCTAGAAATTATACTAGATGTAATTTTTGTCTGTGTGTGTGATTATATTTTGTCAAAACTAAAATTTTAAATTCCTGCTTTTTACAGGAACATGAAAGAGAAGAGACTGCCAAATGGCTAGTTCCTGAACGTTCTGAGTATCTTGCATTGGATGCAAGAGGCTTTTATCTCTTTGCTCCCCACTTAGAAAATGGGTAAAATATATCATTTTACATGAGAAAGGTATTATACAAAAACATCATTGCTGTTTGAAAAGTGTTCAGCGCTGTAGTAAACCCATCATAACCCCACCCTCCCAAGGAATTAATTCCAGAATTAATATTTTAATAGTAACTATTTAATAGTGACTGGTAAATAGATCTGCTCACTGAGAGATCACAGTTCTTCTTGTGCACTGAATGAGAAAAAGGGAGAATGAGTATTTATTTTGATATGATCTCCTGTACCTTTCAAGCAGTAAAGCTAAACAAGCCCTCGATAGCACTGTGAGGCGTTGTGGCTGTTACATTGGGATGCAAAGCAGGGCTGGAGTCCTCTGGGCAGTGCCCTGTGCTACCCCATGTGCAGGCTGATGCCTGGGAGGAGGTGTTTGGGACTTGTGTTTGGGGTGCAGTAATTTCCCTGTGGTTCTAGAATGGACAGGAGACAGGGATGAGGGAAGCGTGCCCTGGGACAGTTGGGCTCAGGGATGTTCAGCTGGACATGGGGGTCCCCACAGCACAGAAAACCAAACTTGGGGCAGAGAGCATACAAGGACCCTGACTGTGCTGTAGTGGTTGATACTTAGTTGGGAATGGAGAGTGCGATGCATGTCCAGATTTTACTTTTTAAATTAATAAATAAAATTGTTTAGAGAGTGAGAGAGTAGAGCCTGTGGCAGTCATGTATTTCCTTAGTCTTTTTGATCCTGTCATGTATCTTGTACTGGGATACCTAATTGGCCTCACTAGATCTTTCCGAAAATGAGTGCCTGTGTACAGGGCAGTACAGCACTTCTTCCCAGCTCTGCTGTATGACCCTGTCAACGATTCAGTTCTCCCTTTTAAAATGTTTATATCTGTGTATATATTCTTAGCCTTTTCTGTGTTGAAAGTATCTTCAAATTTTATCTTCCTAATTCGTGAAAATATTAAATGTAACCAGTGCTTAAATAGGTCATTTGAACTTCATATGGACCAATAGTTCAGCTGTCAGCAGTGCCTGTTGAAATTATCCCACGCCACTTCTCCAGCTTTTAATTGTTGCAGTAAGTTCCATTTTCTGCATTTTAGCTGATGATTCTCTGACATGGTAACATTTGCTTTACTGTATTCCAGTATAATTTAATCTTGTCTCATTTGCAGATGATAAATCCATGTCGTGCTTTATCGATTTCCCCCTTTTGTATTTCTGCAGCTTTGCACTTTAGTATATCAACCTTTGAATGAGTCTGTGGTTGTCAAACTTGCTCTACTATTTAACTGTCTTTTGTAAATAGATCAAAGCCAGGTTTTTCGTGCTCCAGGCTAAGCAAATATCCATAATGTGACAGTTTAAAATTAAAATTTTTACCATCTTGACATGTTACTTGTACCAGTTCTGAGCAGGTGATGAGTCAGGTCCCCTGTAATTAAAATATTTAATGCTCTTTTAAGTTTTTCCTGAGATAAAATGGGATTTGGTTGTTTTCATTTCTCTCAGCAGTGCATGTGTGCTTCTTAGTGATGACAACTGAGGCAAAGTGTTAAATGTGTCTTCTAAGTCACACCTACACTGTCTTTTGCCTTTGCCTTAGTATTGTTTCTGAGCATTGTCCCAGTTTGTATCCTGTCCTATTCCTTCTTTGTAGGGTCTAGTTCAGCTTGATTTTCAGCTATATTTTATGGATCTTTTAAACTCATTTTAGTCCTCCCTATTTCTCTTCCATAGTGGAATGAAGAATTTGAATGTGGATAATGTAAATCAAGAGAAAAGCAAGTAGAACACATGTCCTATAGTGTTGAATAGGTGTCACTCAAAAACTTTTAAAATGGCTGGAGAAGTTTCCATTGACTTCAGTGACTTTCTGATCAACTCATGCCAGCAATGGCAAGTGGGAGCACATTTATGACTTTTTATGGATACTTTTTTTTAAAAGAAATGTCCTTATTGTGGAAAAAATGTACAGAAAATATGATGTGCTGATCAAGACTAAGATTTTTATCTGGAATTATTGTAGAAAGTTCTAACACCTTATAAACTTTTTTATATGGTACATAGCAAGTGTATTTATATTACAGGAAATTGTGCCAGGCAGACATAGCATGTAACTGATGAGTTATACTGCCTGTTTTCTTAAATTATTCTTCACAAACAGGTACCTGCTTTGTTTATGTGTTTATTAGCTGTTCTTAAAGTCTTAACCTTAGTTTAATTTTCCAGTTTTTAAAATAAGATTCAGGCTCATTTGTTTATAAACAGGTTGTTAACCACTCTTGATTCTGCTTTATTAGGTAAAGTTCTCCACTCAACTGCATTCAAAAAAAAATAAATAGGAATGATGAAATAGTATCTTGAAGTCTTCATGATAGTGGAGGCTCTTAGGAAGACTGATAACCTTGAGCTTTAAATTGTTTGAAAAACAATCCCTTTCTCAAGTTGTTTTCCCATCCCAGGAGATTTTTTTAAAAAACCTCTATCACTGAAAGGGCAAGTGAAAAAAATTTGATTAGGAGATACTCCACATATTCTGTCTGGGAGTTATTCAGTTATCTTATGCCCCAGTTCAGGCATGGTATGCCATGCAGTACATTGCATTTTAGACGTTGCTGAAGTGGAGAATGTAAAATAGAAACTTATCAACAGAAAATAGTTGGAGGGCTTTTGACCTTTGATTTGACTGTGAAAATTATATTGAAATAAAATTTATCGAGGTCT